TCCCCCCGCGCCCCTGGGCACCCTCCGGCCCCTGCTCCCCGTCGTTACGTGCCGCCCCATGCCTCCGCTCCCACGGCCACGGCTTCGGTTCCGGCCTCGGGCGGTGGCACCGCGCGCAGCCGCGCTGGGCCGGCCAAGAAGAAGAAGCGTCGGGGTGCCCGCGGCGCTCCGCCCGTGCCCCCCTCGGCGGCCCCGGGATCTTCCGCCATGCCCGAGCCCGTCTCTGGTCTCCCTCGCCCCCCCTGTTTCAACTGCGGGGTGGGGGGCCATTCGCAAGTCAACTGTGTCAATCCCCAATGCTGCTACCTCTGCAAGGATCCGGGCCACCCCGCTCTCCTGTGCCCGGATAGACCGGTGGTGTCTGAGCTCATGATGTACGGCCACGGTATCGAGGGGTTGGTCTTCTTCCACCTCGAGGTCCCCGACGTCCCGCCGCCCTCTCCCACCCTCCAGGCGGTCGTCACTGTGGTCGACGGGGTGGCATCCCCGGAGATGATTGAGGCCGAGCTCAACCACCTCTACCGTCGTCAATGGGACTGGGTGGTCACCCCCACTGCTGGCCACATCTTCACCGTCGTCTTCCCCGACTCCGTCAGCTACGGCTACGTGACTCGCAGTGGCCGGATCACGCTCGCTCTCAACCAACTGGTTGTCGACATCTCCGAGCCGATCCTCGACGCTCAGGCCGTGGCCGTCCTCGACACCGTTTGGATACTTGTGGCCGGCCTCCCTGATATTGCGCGGTCCGAGCTCGGCATTCGCCAGATGTCCCGCCTCTTGGGCAAGGTGGTGGTGGTCGATGAGCTCTCTCTACGCAAGGAGGAGGAGGTCCGGGTCAAGGTCAAGTGCCTCGACTCCTCCAAGCTTCACACCACCGTCCGCGTCTTCTTCAACGACCAGGGCTTCGACCTCAGGATCGCCCCCGAGCCCCCCAACCACGTCGGTCGCCCCCGCTCCTTCGACACTGGCCTCCCCGGCGGCAACCCGGGGACCGACGGGGACTACCACGGTCGTCACCGTGCGCGCTCCCACCACTCGGATGAGGAGGGAGGCTCGGAGGACTCCCGCTCCCCGTCCCCTTCGCCCCCTCCCCCTGCCGCGGGGGCCAAGGGCCGCCAGGCCGCACCCAGCATGCTTCTCGGCGGTCCCTCGGACTCTGTGGCGACGTCCTCCGAGGCAAGCGACATCTCCAGCGTGGGCCTGGTCTGCCCGGCATCTTCACCACGCTCCCCTTCCTCGTCTGCTCCCGTCGCGCTGGACTCGACAGCTCCGGCTCCCAGTCTGCTTCCAGCGGCCTCGGTGGCCCCTCATGAGCCCCCTGTGGCGGACTCCCCCCCTCCGGCTTCGCCTCCCGCGGTCGCTCAGCCCACACCGCCCGAGGCGCCACCTCCTCCGCCGCTCCCGCGGGCGGCCTCAGCCGCGGGCTATGCGATCCCCCCTTCGCCGATGTTGCTTTCGTCCGCGACTCCGTCCCCGGCTCCGCTCCTCCTCAGCTGCACCGTGCCCGCGTCCCTGGCTTCACCCGCGGAGGCCCCGACCATGGACGGGGAGGCTAGGGTGACCACCCCCATGGCTGCCCAGCCCCCTCCTCCACGGTCCGCCGCCTACTCTCGCCCACGGCCGGTCGGCATCCTCCCCGGTGATTGCTTCCCGTCGGAGCGCTCGGCTGGATGCTGCTCACCCCGAGGGCAGTCCGGCTCTGCCCATCCCCGAGCGGGCGGAGCTCCGCGCTGCTGCTC